ACAAATTTACCTTTACCGAATAATGCGAATAAACATAGCCGGTGATAGAAACTAAATTTTTCAGAATTTAATAAATCATGTAATGGTATTTTTACCTGTAAGCTCCATTGAAAGAGTGTTTCATTTTGTTTTATGATAAATAAAGTATCAAATGATCTCTTATTATTGAAGAGTTCGTCATATTGTTTTTCATCAAAAGCAAAATAATTTCCAATATATGACATGACATATTTCATATCATATCCAAAACAAATGTTAAAGGGTTTGGATAGTGTTCTATCTTTTTTATCGAAAATGGTTGAAATATCAAAACCAGACATATTTATTGATTATAGAGAATAATATATTTAGCAATTTTAGTGTTTTTGACCTATTAGATTTGGTACGATATACTATAGAATATCAGGATTCATTTTTTGTGCATTCGAAATAACTCATATTAGATACTCCATATATACAGGTTAAAAACAGACCCAATATGGGTAAAAACTTTATTAATTTTTTTCTATAAAAAATATATATATTCGTAAATATATAAAATATATGCTTTTTATTATGAATTAGGTAATGGGTCTTCTGCCCTTAATCCATGTTTAGCATGTGACAAATCTAGAAATAATCATCATAATTAATTTTTATTTACATTTAAGATTTAATATTATGTATTTTCTTACCAATACATCCTCTTCTACGATCTGAAGGTTGTGGAGAGATTTGTATCTGCTCTGCCTTCGGTTTAAAAAGATGTATTTGGCGGTTCAACTTGCAAGCATCTTCAAGATTTTGATGCCACATTGGTCCAGAAACAACATTACCTTTTGCATCTCTCTCTACACTAGTTTTAAGGTTATCATATACAGAAGAAAAGTCCCGCAAATGATAAAAGAAGGAGCTATGCACAAAATACATGACACTGTGACGAATTCCCTTCATGACAGGAAAATTACCATGGAGAAGAAGGCGCGAAGAAAACACTATAACTTGCCTGGGATGAAGTGGAACAATTATTTTTAACTTGAGAAAGCAGAGTTCACCTCCGTCAAAATCACCAAGGGTAACAAGACAACAAAGACTATTCGGCTCATCACTTTCATCCCAATGATAGTCACTCACAGTATTATAGTTAATAGCTATTATCAGAAAAATCCCAAATATTCTAACTCCAAACGGACCCCATTTCAACTTATATAATTTATTATACAAGCTTCCATAATACTTTTGAAAAAAACGATTAATACAGTTTGACAACAGAACAAGATCATTTAATAGCTTATTAATACATTCTAAATGTTCAATGTTGTGACTGCTTGCAGTATTTGAACTTATATAAGGGAGAAGGTTATTTAACGTAAAAACACCGAAGTGTTTAATAAAATTTTTCCAAAAACTTTTGCTT